AATATTACAGAATTTCAATATTATAATATTATTATTTATTATATTATAATATGATAGTATTTAATGAACTTATAAGTGCCTAATTATAATTCATAAGTTTTCACGTCATATACTTTTCTTACTTTATTTTTATATATAAAAATCATAATTTGCATCTAATTAATCAAGAAATTAATGTATAATATAATGCATTCAATTCTATGAATTATTCAATAAATCTGTGCTACTATAAAATATTAATTTATCATTAAAAACTAATTGAATCGTACGATCTTGCACTTGCTATATGCATTGTATAAATATCTATTAATACGTCAAGTGTGTAAATACTTGGGATAAGTCAATTCATGTTCGTTTTATGCGAACATTTATAGTATCGATTGTAGCCATATACAGAGGAATTATGAATGTACAATGAATTTGTGAAATAATAGATGAAAAGTTTGACTATACTATGTATTCTAAATTCTTAAATATATGATGGATACTCGACGTTTTATACATATGATTTGAGACATATGAAATTTTTGTTCCCTTAATTCATTTTATTTTCATACATGTAAGCCATGCAGTTTTTTCTTACATTAAATGACTTTATGTATGATACAAATTTTAAAATAAAAATATAAAAATGTAGAATAAACTTGAAATATATTTACTATTTTTATGCCAATATTTTCTTAGCTTTTTTTTTTCATAAATATAAATGAGGATTCTTAATATTACGGAATTAATTACGTATTAGAAAACTTTAATCGAACAAACTAAGTATTCTAATAAATTTCAGGCGAATTGTTGGTATTCATTAAGTAAATGCATAAATTTAGTTTGTATGCTATATTCGTTACTGTAAATAATCAAATAGATTTGAAATATCTAAGTATTAATAAGAATTAATATATTCATTAGTTAATGATGATATAATTGTTTATTTATTTTGTTACTATGTAATAGTCGTAGAAAGTGATTGAATTTTCTTACACAAATTTTATGCAGTATAGTTCAGTATGTGTTTATTTATATTTTTCTTTTAGAAGTGGTATTACGATAGATTCGAAAACATTCTAAACTTTTTGACCGTTCTACCTGGGCACTAAAATACAGAATCTTGTCCACTTAATCTGCATGCTCCAGCTGTAATTATTGTCCGCAGATTATCTACGTAATGTTGCAGCCCCCAGGGCTAGCATAGGGAGTCGGGAAATCCCAATAGAATTAGAATGACAGGGTGAGAGAGAGAGAGAGAGAGAGAGAGAGAGAGAGAGTGTGTGTGTGTGTGTGAGCGAACGAGAGAGATAGTAAGATGGCGTGTAATTGTCGGCTTTAATCGGCCAGAATCACCTGCGAAATTGATTTCGCGGTTCCCATCTATATATATCCACATACGTGAACATGCGAGCGTCCCTTATATGTCGGTGTTACGAGATTACATGCAACGAGTGAACAAAAGATGATCGGTCGGGGTCAATCTCGCCTCAATTAATAATAAATTTTTTAAATTTGAACAATAATCTGTGCTTATCAAGTTATTGATTTTTTTACTCTTTTACCATAAAAAAAGACACTTTCATTGAACAAACTATTTATTGCTAATAGATTTCAAGCGAATTGTTCGTATTTATTTAGTAAATAATGAAAATTCACATTTTCAAACTTATATAACGCAATAGTTTAATAATAATATTAGTTATAATAATTGTATTATTACAATATAATTAATTTTATACAATTAATAACAGCATATAGAATTTAAAATTTCTGAATTTTATGATGAATTATTATTCATTATCGTAAGAGGTAATTTTAGAAACACATATCATAAAAGTTGATCGAAACAACAACCTTCATAATTTTTTAAAACCTTAAAACACAAATTTTCTTTCTTTTCCTATATATCATATATTTTCACATATAAAATTAAATACTCATTAAGTCATATGGGAAAAAACGACATTTGCTTAGCGCAGTATATAAAAGCTTATGACAAAGTAAAATGTTTTACCGTGACAACTACTTACCCTGAATGTAATAACGTATGATACTCGCATAACCAATAATAAACCCTTCCTAATCGTCGACTAGGCAATAACAAAAAAGTTAAAAAAAAAAACGGATCGGTGAATTCATGTCTGGGCTGCCGGGTCTCGTCAGTCAAGACATTCGTCTATGAGGGGGAGGGTGAGTTATTAATGCAGGGGCCAACTGAACAGTGGGCGTCGATGATTGCGTCCCTATGAGTCGAAATTAACATGAATCAACCCTTTCTTTTACATACGCTCACACGTATACATACGAGAAGCTTAGTGAAGGATTATTAAAAAAGTATTAAAATTCATCCGATGTGTTTGATCATACTCCGATGATTCGTTCGGATCATATGAAAAGATGAAGAAAACAGGAGGTACTGAGAGTGACAACAATTGGATTTGACTAAATTTTTATATATTTGGCACTTTTCTTTAAAGAAATACATATAGCCTAAAGCTATGATAAATGACATAAATGTAGCTCAAATATATTCTTATATACATATTCCACTACTGTTTTTCTCCTGTTTCTATATTTTTATTTTTTTAATCTATCGTAATTATAAAAGTACGATAAAATATATGAACAAGCTAAAGCATAAATCTTAAAAATAATCAATTCATAATGAAATTATATAGTCTAAAATATTAGGAGTTTATAAAAGTATAAGTTTATTAAATTATATAATGTAAAATATTAGGAGTTAATAAAGATTTCTAAATAATTTTTTTGCTAGACTATTAGAAGTACAATATCTGAAGGAATCAATTTTTTTTAAAATTTGTTCGGACCAAGTAATTACGTTGACACGCTACGCCGAACCAACTATTAAAGGGGTCGTTATGTAAAGTTGTTTTTACAGATAGAGATAGTATAAAAGAAATTTCTCTTGCTCTCTCGCTCCCAAAAGGTCTTAGTAACTAGACAGATTAAATACTCGAAATTCCCGCATTCCTTTTTTATTTATTCTCGCAAGGCCGGACAAAGTGAATTTCGCACGGAGGCGAATGAGATTTTAACCTCGAGGGTCCAGCCACGTGTATACCCTTACGGCTTTCCTATGTACATTTCTTTAAAATTTTTATGTACCGATACACACATATACGCAAACATATATATATATATATATATTGGTTAATTCCGATGCGTTACACGATGTGACACCGATAAATATTTCCTTCTTTATTTCCTACACGTAAGCGATATTTCAAAGTCAAGAATGGATATTTTCTAGTTGTTTATATTATGTGTAGTTGTTTTAAATTAAATATTGTTATCAAAAGACCAAATTAATTTTATTTTACTTTTATATACTCAAGTGCTTCATATATCTCAAATTCCTTTATAGAAAAATCTCATGACTCCGCTTAATTATATTAGTATTTTATTATATTAGTTAACGTGACTTTATGCTATGTATGTAATATATTCTAAGTCAGTTTTATGATTTTGTCATACTAGCAATAGTATAAATTCATAAATATATAAATGTTTAAATAGCTACTTGATCGATTTATTCCATTATTAATTTTTATGATAATATCTTATCAATTAATTCGTGTAATAGTATATCGTTGCCTTAAGGGTTGCGAAGATTGAGGAAGCGAAAAGAAAAAAAGATAGGGGCAGATTTCGAGTCCTTAATACCTTCCGAGTGACTACGCTCTGGCCCATCTCGCTTTCTCACTGTCTCTCTCTCTCTCTCTCTTTCTCTCATCCCTTAATGAAATTCTTTTAGTTTTTAATCCATGCCGAGTTTCGCTCCGGAAAGTAAAAAAGAGACGGAAGAAATAAAGGAAGACAGGCTTTATCGCGCTCCAGGGACTGAGTTAAATAACGTGATATATTGCGCTTATATAGACATAAGCGATCTCACAACAACAAAAGCAACAACAACAAAACAACGGCACATTATCACTTATCAGTATTGCCCTGACATTCGCGCACGCAAGCCTTTATCGCTGCCCCCACAGCTCATGACTTTCCTTCTCCGGTCACGTGTGTATCCTAAGCTTTATAGGTTCGCATGTGTGTGCCTCTTTCTATTTCTTTTTGAAATTCGAAGAAAGGGCTACAAATTTTGCTCATGTAAATTTTAATCGGCTAATTTTATCGTGCTGCCGTGTCTTTCTTGCGTCTTCAAATTTCTAGTAGTGGATACTTTAACATTTACTGGAAGTGCATTACTTTTAGGCATGAAACCGACGCTTTTCAAAGTATATTAAAAGTATTCTATATATGCTAGGATTATGTGATCTACAATAATGAAAATAAAATAGAATCTATCAATTATTTTAATTTTCTTAATAAGTTGTTTGACTTTTTAATAAGATTTTATGTAATTATTTAATTTGTTTTACTAGTCATCATTTATCTAAATTTATTACACATTGTATTTAATAATTTTTTAAAAATAGCGTATTATCTGATATATATATATATACAACTTTTGCCTTTTTTTATTCTTTAATAATTGGCAAGTTTAAAAATAAGTAATCTTAAAATTTTAACAATTCTTATATAATTTAGATCATCGATTAAACAGACAAAATATATCGTTATTTTCTTGAAACTTAAACAAAACTGTCTTATGCAGTTGAATTTTGTTACAATTATTCTTAGTATATGGCAATTTGAACAAGAAAAACATTACTTTAGTAAAAATAAGTATTTTCTATTTTTCTTTTTGCTTTGTATAAATCTACAAAATGAAGATATTATTACTTAAAAGCGCTGCTTTGAGGAGATAAAAGCACTTTTCAATGATTTTTAATAAGTGTCTTAATAATAAGCAGTCATAGTTTTACATTATTATTATAATTTTTTTTAAATACACTTTTATATGATTTATCCAAATAATTATTCGATAGGGTTTGTCTCAGTTACGGCTAATATTAAAAATACGGAACATATTTCACAAGATAGAGGGAATACAATAAGATAAAGATGAATAATAAAAAACTGGTACTCGCCTGTGTGTAGCCTCGTATGTTGTTGCACGTGACTAAGCTGCTTGAACCTGCGGTCGCAATAGCTGCACTTGTAGGGCTTCTCGCCGGTGTGCACCCTGATGTGTTGCACGAGTTGATGGTTGCTGGAGAAAGATTTGAGGCACTGCTGGCACTGGTGGGGTTTAACCTCGTTGCCGGTAATCATGCCGCCGGGTCCGACGCCGACGCCAAGACCACCGCCGAGGCCCGCGAGGCCACCTCCGACTCCTCCAGCACCGGGACGCCCGGCGCCAAGGGCACCCGCGGCACCAAGTTCGCGCGCATGCATCTGCATGGCGTTCTTGTGCATGAAGATCTGCGAGAAGAACTGCCGGGGTTAGTTGGTATGCTGCACTTTTGTCCGAGTACGGGGCGATGGCGAAAACCCGCTCTTTACTTTTTCTTTTTTGTTTTGATTTCATTGTCTGACGCCCCTGGAGTTAAGTTTTTCAATGAGGACTGCGACGCGAAAGGAAGCAGTTGAACGTGACGCTCGATTGGTGAAACACGAGGTGAAAAATAAAATGGACATCGTTTTATTGAAATCTCTCGAAGGTTAAATGACACTTGCGTTCTTCATTTTCCAAGTTTAAAATCGGAAATCATTGCGACGTCTCAAATTTAGAGTCAAATACATTTCATTAACACAAGATATTAGATTTCGAATTTCATGAAACGTGCAGTATTTAATTATTCAATTTGTACTCAACACGAAAGTAATTACGCTTGTTACTTCAACTTTTCACAATCTTCGATTATATATTCAATTTTATCAATACGTTTTATTATTAATAACTTCCTCTTTTTTATTCTATTTTTTCTCTTTATTATTATTATTTATTATAATTTTATCTACAATTAAAAATGCTACTCCAGGGAACTCGAAAATATTTTTTTTTCAATTGATAATATAAATGAGGTGTTAGCCATCGTCTATTTACATTATTTTTATAAATTTTCTTAAATTTTTTTTAAATAATACCTTAATGAAATCATATTTCTGTTCAATGTCCAAAGAAAGTAAAAAAAAAAATATATATATACATAATTTAAATAATTTTATATAAAATCGATTTTGTTAATGCAACATATAATGGAAACAAATTATTTCTTGCGGAAATGTGACGTTAATTGTATTATGAAACCTTTTTGCTTTAATACTGTTCAGTCAATTCTTTTAGCTTATTAATTAGTAAATTTAAAACATGCATTATTCAATTAAATGTATATTATAATAGTTATGCTGGATTATACTAATAGCATTATTTTTAATCGATAAAGGAATTTTTCACAAGCTGATAAAAACTTTATTTATATACAAATAAATTGGAATCTGCTGAAAGAATATATTTAATTATAAATTAGATTAGTTGAAAAAGTTTCATACGACATTTAATATTTAATGTTCATACGAATTATTAAATACATTAATAAAATTAATTTTTATCTGTTTGTAAATAATTTAAAAATTAAAATCTATTGCACATGCACAAGTACTAAAATTTTAGTTAATTATTATGAATATATATATATATGTATGTGTGTGTGTGTGTGTGTGTGTGTGTGTGTATGTATGTGCGTGTGTGTGCGCGCGCGCGTAAGCGTATGTGTGTGTGTGCATTATATTATACATGAATACAATGATTTTTAGTATTAATTAAAATAATATAATATAATTATATTGAAATTTCTATAATTGTATTTATTATAAAATGGATTGCAAATTATTTATTAAATCTTTCATCATAAAATCGTAAGGTAAATAATCTTTTAAATAATAATGGCTTACAATACTTGAAATCAATAGTAATCATTAATTGGCTATAAAAATTCTAATTATTGAAATAAAAAGTTTTATATAATATGTAGAATAAACAGCCTTTCAATTGGAGATTAGAAATTTTAAGTTCGTAAATTATGCTAGATATAATTCCATTAAAGAAAATCAAAAGCAATTATTTTACTTTTCAATGGCGTATGTGCACAATCAATCGACCCCTCGCATCTTGATTTCTGCATAAAATATTTATCGTACTAAATTGTGTGCAACCAGTTGAATAGCTCCATCCTATCGGCACGTAATTATCGACAAGCAATGACTCGCGCACCGAAGGTAAAAAGTCCGGGATAATGGTACCGACGCCCCGCGAGAATCCCGCAAGACTGATTCACTAGTCTGCCATCAGAATAAGGGAATAAGAGTCTCTTCAAACCGTTTTGCTAGCGAGTCGAACAGGTGTTTTTGTGGCGCGCGTTCAGGATTAGGAGTGTGGGGGCGTATGGAAAGGGTTAGGAGAAAGAAGAGTATGGGAAACAAACAGCAAGGTACAACCTTTTACAAAAGTCGATTCTACCTTTAAATTTTTAATTCATTTAAAAGATATTTTATTGGTCGTTGGTTACTGAGTTTTTAGCTACTTAATGTGAAAACTTCATCCTGGGAGAAAAAGAGTGGCTAAATATATTTTTTCTATTTATAAAAATAACTCTATTATTATGCAGTTTGAAATTCAGTTATTTTTTAAAAATGTTTATGCTTCGCTCGTTATATATTGGAATAAATAAAAAGTAAGACTATTTTTCAATAAAGATTTATTTAATCAGTAATTATTGATACAAAAAACTGTAATATAATACAAGTAAAAATCTCTCCAACAATTATCATTGTTTCTTTAATTTTCTTAAAATTCAGAAGGAAAATTTTCGCTCAAAAAGCTCGCTCCAGACTCGTCCTACCGTGTAAGACCTTAAAAAGAGAAGATAAAAGCGGAACGATGATAGAGAGCGCTCTCGGATTTTATTAAAATATGTTAAAACTGTAATTAAAATCGAAAAATCTCTCTCGTTCGTCGTCTTCTTCATGCCGAAGTTTTAAGAATCTTAGCTCTCGGCCGCGGAGGAGAAAGGAACAAAAGTGAACGCAACGTTCGCGAGAAAGAATTGAAATTGTCACAGAGGGTTCTCAAGTTTCTTCCTGTCTCATCTCGGGCTAGCAGCAGAAGTCGAACGTTACCCCTTTCATCTCTATAACCTCGCGTCTGTTTTCTCCACTTTTTTTCCTCAGCCTTCCCTTCCCTTCCATAGCCGAATCCCACGGGAGAAAACGATTCCACGCGAGAGCTCGAGAGATGGGGTAAGCAGAAAGGGGTTGCGAGCGATCGGACGAACGAACTCGGACGAAGCAACCCTGACTCTTAATTCTCGTGAGAGAGAAAGCCTGTTCCCGATTTTCTCGGCACTCTGTTTTTCTTTTTTTTTCTTGCGCAGGTTAGCATTGCCTTTCTCGTATGGTACTTCGCCGCTGTATAAGCAGATTCTTTTGTAGCTATTTGTCCCCCCCCCCCACCCAACCCACAGTTAACTTGTATAAAGACGCAAGGCTTTTTTTTGACAAAAATCCTTGATAGGGTTTGAATATATTACGGTAATTAAAAGTTTCTTCATGATTAAGTTATTTTTTTAAAGCGACATTCTTTTGATTGTAATGTAATATGTTTAAATTTTATTATATTTATTTTATTCTAATTTTATTATAATAAAGAAATGAATCTTTAAAAAGCCTATAAGTTAATAGAATAGCATGACTATCGAAATATTGACTTATATTTACTATACATTTACTATAAATAAAGCTATTTTATGATATGTAATTATTCTATTAAATTAATTGTATTACAACATTTGATTATGTAAATATGTATTTATATATTTTTTCATAATAAATATAATGTATAATAGAATTAACACATAGAATATAATAGATATTATAAGTATAAATTACAATAACATAAAATACGTATTGATTTTGGAAAATTTATAATAAACAATTTCTCTAAAATTTGATAATTACATACCAAATGGAAATTTAAAATGATATTATGATAGCCTGGTAATCAAAAATCGACGAAAAATGTGATATATATATGCGAAAGCTTGAGAAACAACTTAAAAAATAAAAATCTGATAGAAGAAACGTCACTTTTCAATTGAAAGAGATATTGTAGGTGAAAAGTTCGATGTCGATAATGCAAATAGTTGATTGATCATAACTGTTCCATGAAGGAAAAGAGCCTCAACGCCACCTCGACAATCGAAGAGCATCCGCCGCGGGTGATTAACCCGAGAATAGTGATTTGACTGAGAAATTTTTAACGACTCCTCGGGTCTTGTCTCGAGTGACTCTTGTTTGTGACTTCCCGCCGCTTTTTCCTTGGTATGACCTCGGCGATTTTGCAGCACCTCAAGGCTCTGACATCTCCTGACGAGGTACTCACTATGGACCAAGGGATCGAAGATTGTGCATTTTGTACGCTTATTGTCATTATTGAAAATGCTCTTTAACTCTCGATTTCATGGAAGTGGATTTTCCATGGCCTATAATTGGTCCATGTGATAAAGATAGCGCATTATTCAATCTCTTCATGCAGTCATTATTAATTTGTCTATTGTTTTACACTCAAGCTTATCCCTAGGTCAATAATTAGAAATTATACTTTTTTTATTGCGAATATTTTAACAGTTATAAAGTAAGAAAGAGAGAGAGAGAGAGAGAGTAACAAAATTTTAAATTATAGTACACCATTATCATTTTCTACTGACGCATCTCAATGTATTTAAAAAAAACAACTCTCTTGAAACGAGTAACCAGAAATCATTTTAAGGTATATAATTGACTTGCTTGTTCTATTATTTTAAAGCGTAACGTTTTAACCTACTTTACTAGCGTTATTAGAGCGTGAATTATTTTAATTTCTCGATTCTAACTGTGATATAAATTTTTTTTATCATCCATTAATTTATAATTCTATAACATTAAATGAAAAAATCGATCTGAAAAAGGCCATGAAAAAGGGGTGGACAATTATTACACTATTAAAAGAAGATAAAACAACATTTAAAATACAATGGGGCATATGCTCTATAAATTGCTTAATCATACATTTAATTCTTCCATGTGTATCATTTCCTTAATACAATGAACATCGATATATGGAGATATAATCTCGAAGTCGTAAAAGACATTTTACCGCTTTATTTGAGCACATGAATCGCAATGCCCGCATTGTCGCGCGTTCATTAATCAAAATTTTTATCTGTCTTCAAGATGTAGAAAATTACATGAGCTAAATTAGAAGGGAAAGGGTTTTGGAAATCTTTCCTCCTGATTTATCGTCTTAACAGTGCTTAAAAAACAATGAAAAAGAAAAAAAAGTGCTCAATATGAGACGTTCTGACAAAGAGCATTTGTTGGTACGTATCAAGGAGGAAAAAGAATCATAGCCTGGCCGTAGGCTATTTCAGTTAATACCTCTAATGATGAAAAAATAT